ATTATCTTAAATAAAGATTCTTTCATATCAAACATCTTATTAAAATGGTTAAATTTTTGGTTTCATTGTGATTCCATGATTTCATCATCAACTAATTATAAATATTAACCATGTCTATTTTAAATTCTATATAATAAATAATTTATTTATAATTTCCTATAGATAAATAAATAAATGAAACACATGATTGTAATCATTTTTTTGTTAATGTAGTAAGAATAACAATAGATTTCATGTTTGATGATTTTTACGCATTATTTATTTTCAAAAAATTTCTTAGTTTTGTTATTCACATGCCAAATTTTTTAGCAGCTTTAGGAATAACAGGTATAGATTAAATTTATTCACTTTCATAATATTTTTTTTTGTTAATATTATTTTTAGTAACATATCATCGTGGGGTACTGGTTGATATTGTTTTAGTTATATTTCAATATTCAGGTTGATAACTATTATTATTTTTATCTTTAAAATTAATTAGCATCTTCTCAATAGTTGAACTAGTTTCTTCTTTTATTTATTGATTAATTAATTGAGATACTTCATAGAATTAGTGGTACCAAAACGAAAACTAGATCGATGATCTGATAAATAAAATACATATTTGTATAAACTTTACTTTACTAATGAAAAGTAAAAAAATTTTTTTTTATGAATTTATGACTTGTAAAATGGAAGTATAGGTTTAAATATATTGGGTACTTTATTGCGATTATTATAATAAATCGAAGAATTAATAATTACTTATTTCCTTTTAAAGAACAAATGCAACTTTTCTTATTTGGAAGAAGATGTAGTTGTTATGAATGCTAAAATAAATGAATGAATTAATGATGGTAACATGAAAAAGAATAAAAGAGAAGATAGTTGGAGGAATAAATTTATTCTGGATTTACCATCATTATCATAATCACCATCATTACCATCAGAATCATCATCTTCATCATCATCATAGTATTATCAGTATTACCGTCATAATTATAATTTTGTTGGCTAAGATGCTGTGTTGATGTTGAGGTCATTGGTTATCAAACAATCATGGATTCATTCATTTTTATTATTATCATCATCATTATTTAGATGATGTATTGTGATGTCTCAAATAAAAAGACGTGTTTGGAGTAAACAAAAAAAAACTTTTAATATGAATTATGTTGATCAAAGTGATGATCGAATATATATTAATATTAATCTTTCTGCTTTTTTGATAATGTTTCAAATTTTTATTAAACTTCTGAATAATTTTGAAACTATGGTTTATTCAATTTATAAAATCTTCATGAGTCAAGCTCCTCAATATATAATTCTTGTCACAATTTCTTCTTTCTATATTTATAGTCCTTGAATGTTTAAAACATCAATTGCCAGAATATAATGAAAACAGTTGATATGTAGTAGTATATGGATGAAGAATATGTTAAATATTTAATGAGTAAATAGTTTAATTACATTTTATTTATAGTAATATTATTATTTATAATTATTACTGTTTTAAATAATTATTGGGTATTTAGAGATCACAATCATTCAAATTTTACAAGCTATACGATTTACTTACTATGATGAAGAGATTATTTTATTCTCATTAAGTTAACTGTTATTTATTACCTTATTTGATTAATTGACTCATTGATTTTTTTAACAAATATAGTCAAAGATGCATTTACTATCTAATTACAAATACCTTTATAATTAGATTTTTATACTGGCCTGGTCATTATCATTCATTGATGCTAAACAACATAATATTAAATTAACATTTCAGTGGATATAATAGTGAACTGTGTAACAATGACGATTATTAATATTTAATTAATAAATATTTAAACATATAATTATAAGAAATAAATAAACAATTAAATTACAATTATTAAGAATAAGAATAATAAATTACAATGGCATTTTCTTAAGCCAAGATAATAGAACAACCCTAAGAATGATCAACAAGAAAATGGGTCTTAAATGATTGTCAAACAATAATTTATTATAAAGTTTTCCTATTTTGAATGCAAGCAATAATGATATAATGGTTCTTGAAAAGTTGATCCTAGATTGCTGTGTGCAGAGTATTTTAATATTTAAATTGTGGAATTTCAATATATTAAAATAAATTTACTGCCCTTTATGTTTTGTTATTGAAAAAAAATTACAAAGTATTTATATACAGTGTATGTGGTAAGCTGCAAATAAATAGCCCAATTTCGGATTTTGACTATATTTAATTATGTATTTGCAAATTTAATAAATATATCATTTTGTTCATAATATTAATAAAGTTTAAATTTAAAATCTTTTTTTCATAATATATAATAATATCTATATCCCTTTTTTGTAAGTTTGGAATTGTTCAGATATTATCTAAGGTTAACTATGCTTGATTGACTTACTGAATTTTAAATATTCAAGAATAGCATGGAGAGCTTGAATATTAGATCTATCATTGATTTTAATTTTTTACATTACCTTTATTATAATTTAATTTTTCCCTAATGTCTGAACTCATAATACCATTTGTTTATATATCATTGCATGTCATTGATAAAATTGCTAGTTTTATCTATCTTGTTACAGAACCTTTTTTTATTAATAATTTACATTTGACTTGTTATGCTTAAAAAATTAGCAAATACCAGTAAGTTATAAAGATAAATGATATTTATTAATGAATTTAATCAAGATTTCCAAGTTTAACTATGTCATTTGATGGTAAAAGGATCCATTGAGTGATCCAGTTTTTATTCATAAAACTGAGAAACGACTGTGTAGAGTTGCAAGAAATATTTCCTGATATAAATTATAATCTGCGAGATCCTTATCTCTTTCAAATGAACTGAATCAGTTTCATCCATATGAAAAAAATATTTATAACATACTTAAAGACTTAGTTTGATTTGCTTATTATTTCATCTATAATAATAATAATGATATAATTTCTATAAGAGATGGTGTATTTCTTTGAACTATCTTTCTTTAGTATCATAAAATCTGTGATCCCTTATTTGAATAATTTGCAGTGTAAATATTTTATTTAAGATTTATTCTATCTAGTTTCTTGATTTGATCCAACAAAGAACCCTCCAATTAGTAATAATATAAAAAGAAATTATTGAATAATTGGCATAATTATTAGTAAACCTTTATGATTTTTTCCTATTTGCATACTGATTTACAGCCAACTTGAGTTTAATAATTTGGGAAAATTACTGATATTTTAAATCAAAATTTATACCCCATCTGAACATCAGACAACTGAGTAGGTTATTTGTGCCTATAGGAAGGTGAAACTATAGCTTGTTGTGACATTTGGGGTTTGTAGATATTTGTTGGTAGGTTCAGCTGTTTTTGAGTCATAATGATTAGAACAAAGAGAGAAGGAGAGAGACCAATGGTTCCATTACTAATTTGGAAAGTTGTGAATTTATAAATAATGATATTATTGTTGATAATAACTTACTGAGAATATGAGAAGAAATATTGATAAGTCATACTGGGTGTCTGTTAGGCTATAATATAATTATATATAAATCAGAGCCTTTTAAAATCAGACAACCAAGTGGGTCACCTATTTCCTAGCCCTTACTATGTGGCTCAGCTTATAGCCTTGAATGACAAGGAAACCAAATAGGTTTACCCTGTCATTCCATTATTTTTCACCAATAAATCACAAAAGATTTCTGTATCTGTATCAATCAAGAAACTCTGCATGATTTTCTTGTCAACTCCTGTGATTGGGTTTAATTATTGTCAAGTAAACTATAAATTAATTATTATTAGTTGTAATTATTTACTGAACAAAGAAATATTTTCATTTATCATATATTAAATTTAATTAATATTAAAATGATATCTTATCTAATTCATTTTTTTATTTATTTTAAAATGATCTCATTATTTAACAAAAAAAAGTTTTTGCATCATATAGAATAATAAAATATTGACAATGCGGAATAAAATAATATAATCTAATATTTTTGGACATCATTATTACTTATTTACATTTGCGAGGATTCTGATATAATAGATTTGATTTTTATTTCCAAATAATATGATACTTAATTAAATGAGAGGCTTTTGTTTTTTAAATTTTTGGAAATTTTAAGGTATAAATCACATGCAAAGTTATTTTATCTTCCTTTTTTGCATATAAAAAATTTACCAATTCTATTCTTCTCCATTAATAATTTACAAAAGGTGAGAATGATAATGGCTTATAAACATATTATTATTTAAATATTTCTAAATTTTTTATTATAATTATAAAGTATTTTTAAAACAATATATACATTTGTTATTAATCTTTTTTGAATGTATGTGATAAATTTACAGAATTTATTTAATGACATTGTAAAATATTATAATGAATCTAACTATTTAGTAGTCTTCTAAGGATCAAAGTGAAATTATGTATGCTTTGTTATATTTTTGAAAATTGAATATTAAATCTTAAAAAAGTGTTAGAATCACTATTCATTTAAATAATTTAAGGAAAATATTATTTGGCTCACACAGACTTAGATTTTATACTTTTCATTTCTTCAATTTTACTTTTTCTTTTTTTGTTTTCTTTTTTTATGATAAAAATGAGAAAAGTCTTTTTGACTTTTTAGACTTTGATTCTTTTATTTTTGATATGGCATGGTGTAAGGTAAGCAGTTAGTTGGTTGTAAGTAATTAAGCTAATTTATGACAAATTCATTATCAAAATTATATTGCAACTTGCATAAATTGATCATTGTACTTATATATGATTTTGACTCATAAACTGAGGTGATTTATCAAGTTTTAAATTTCCAGACATAAATATATGCTTTAAAAAGTTTTAAGGTATGATATGTGATTTGCTTATTATATCAGCCATTCTTAATAATAAGAATAATAATAGTAACTATAATAAAATGTTTAGTCTATCTTGTTTTAGTTTCTAAAAATTTGTATTCACTTATTTGAATACTTATCTGAAAAAAGGCAGAAATCGTTATAAATATTCTACATTTCCTTTATTAAATATCTATAAATATTCTATCTAGTTTAAGTTGAGGCTGTGTTTCAAATTCAGTTATATCTAGATTTTTCCAATCTGTGAGACTATAAAAAAGTAATTATTAAATAATTGGCACAATTAACAATCAAAAATTTACACTAAGCCCTTTGTGGTTCTGGATTAGTCATTACCAAGCAAACTATGCTTAATAATTATCAGTTGTAATTATCTTCAACTTCTTTTTTTAAATCATCAATAACTTTCAAATGCTTTTAATGAATATTTCCAATGATTCATACATTGAATTGGGTTCATATTAAAATAATATCTAACTCATTTTTTTATTTGTACCATGTTAAAATTATTAAATTTTTTCTATAAGCAAAGTAAATCTTAACAATTAAAATGAGGTTGTATATCAAAATATTAAGAATATTGGATAATCTAATCTAACTTTTATGTAGGTCATTATATATTCTTTGCACTTTGCAAGGATTAGGTTTGATTTTTTCATTCAACTAATAAGTATGATACTTGATTAACGATTTGATTTTTTTTAAATTACAAATTACCAATAAATTATTAATTTTTCTTTGCTTGCTTATAATATTAATTATTGATGCTATACTTTCTTTCCATTACTAAATAAGAGATTAGATAATGGTTTATAAAAACATTCTATTTGAATATTCTTGTTATTATGAAGTATCTTCTTTAAAATAATTTATAAATCTATTCAATTTTTTTTAAATGTATCTGTTAGAATTTATTTTTGTAATAATGGCAAGTGAGTAATAGAAAAGAGCCTTTAGTAAATTTGCATTATAAAATATTATAATATTCAGCAGTCTTCTAAGATCAAAAGTTAAATTATCTTAATGCTAAGCTACCTATAAAATGGACTTTTTGAAAAACCATAAATTAAATACTTTAATATAATTTTTAATTATCTATTGATGTTATTATTTTGAAATATCCAAAAACTGGTACCTGCACTTTTTTATGAAAGTCACTAGTAAAAATGGGAGTCTTTTTGATTTTCTAGGTTTTTTATTCTCTTGTTTTTGGTATGGAATAAGGAGAATTAATTAATTAAGCCAATTTATAATAAAATCAATTATTAATATTTCAAATTCTATTACAACTGGTTTGTTATTTAATTTTAAGACAAAATAAAGAAATACTAATAAATTGATCATATTATATTTTGAATAATTCTTGAAAAAAATAATAAAAATAGCATTATATATCTTTTCATGTATTTGGAAGCAAGCTTTAAGTCCACTTCACTAATTGATCAGTATAAAGTGGTTGACTAAATTCTACTTGTAATCGTTTTATAAACTAATACTAGCTTCATTGTACCATTTTTATTTAATTCATCACTTATTTTTTTCTGTTTTGTTTATATTATATTACTAACTAATGAGAAGACTATATAAATTTTATAATTAATATGTATATTTCATGTCTTTTCACATTTTTGTAAATTATAAATATCTAACTTTTCATATAATATCAATGTTCAGTTAAAAAATTTTATTATTTATTTTTATCTTTATTATGAAATAAAGATTGAATTTTCATTAATACCATTTTTATAGATTTTCAAAAAATTTATTATTTTTAGTTTTTAATTTATTTTTACATTCCTTCTTCTTTTGACTATATCTTTATCTTGAAACTTTACTTAATGAAGATTTGTTTTATTCTATAATGTTGTATCAGTTTAGATGTTTTATTTATAAAATTTTCCTAATAACTAAGCTGAATAAAATAATAAAGGATTAATTTTATAAATTTATTTAGATTATCGATTTTATTATAATTTGATTTCTTTTTAATTTTTTTTTAATATTTACTTAGTTTTTCAATAATATTTGCAAATTTAGGATCCAATTATTATTAATTTGATATTTTTGTAGTTATTTATAGTTATAATGCTGTTGCTTACCAATCAATTAATTACATAATATGACTACCAATTTAGCATATTTAACTGTGGTTTATTTTAAAGTAGTTCGATGATCTTTTAACCCTTTGTTTTATTCGTGCATAAACACGAATTGATCGATGATGATAATTATCAATATTTTTGTCTTATGTCCACAAACTGTTCTTCCCTTACATTCTTCTGTCCTAAAAACAATTAAGGATTAGTTCTGAAATATAAATTGCAAAGTACTATATAGTGCTGAGGTCAGCTGTAAATAAATATTTTCAAGAAATTTCAAATTTCAACCATAAAATATTTATATTATAAAAACAACATTTTGTTCCTAATATTAATATTATCCAATTCTAATAATAATTTTTAAATGTGAAACCTATTTTTACATAATATATATTGGCATAAAAAAATAAAAAAAATATTTTTACTCAATTCTATATGTAATTCTATGTATTGAATTCATATTTTGATCATATCTAATATTGATTTTTTTTTAAAAAAATAAACTTCTATCTCCATACTATAAGCAAACAGAAAATGCCAAATGTATGCGAAAGAATACAATCAATATAGTCAGTGGTGTAAACCTTGCCACTCATTGCATTTTAAAAATGATTTTGATAAATGGACAAGCGGATAGATAAATTTATTCAACAACTAAATGCTCATTTTACTGAAGCAATAGAATAGATAGCTTATGATAGATTTCTAATATCAAATGAATAGCAAAAGGTGGTTATAGTACTATTCATTAAGCTAAGTGGGTTGATGATTTATTCAATGTTGGGACATAGAAGTTCTTCCGGATCTGATACAACTTCCAAGGTGCAATCATAAAAACGGCCGCTCGGTTTTCGCCTTCGATTATGGAAATATATTGTATGTAATCTATCCGAAATTCTATTAAAATAGAATTTAAATAATTATAATATTATCTCTCTATCTATCTATCTAAATTGAAATTTCATCCTATTAATAAATCTGAGCATAGTAAGTAAATTGATTAAACATTAAAGAGTTTGATATTGATGATATAAAACTAATTTAGGAGATTGCCATTTTTTTTTGTTTTTTAAATTCATTAATTTTCCACTTGTATGGACATATGAATTCCATAAATCTTGGGAAGATTTAAAGCTAATTCCTATACTTGTTCTAGTGGATTATCTCGAATATTATTAATTCTTCTTAACCACAAATTAAGAAGAGTTCCTTCACTTTTAGGATTGTTTCTTGAATCTGCTCGAATTTTGATTCTTCAGATTAATTCCATTCTCTACTAAAATCCAGTTCACTCGAATAAAATTTAATAGCCTTGCAAATAATTTCGCTGTCAAAAAAAAAAGAAATTGAATTAAAATAAAAATAAAAATAAATTTGATCAAATCACATGAGAGAATAATATAGCTTCTTACGGAGGATTGTGCATGATCGTCTGAGAAACTCAGTAAACAAATACAATAATTCTTTGCTACCCAACTCCCAATGCTTTCTCGATTCTTCAACAGTTTTTTTGTAGTAGTATATTAAGAGGTAAAAAAAAAAAATTATTCACATTATATTTTTTGTGTTTATAACATCAAATTGCTAAAAACTTATTTCTAAAAGGTAATATTGAAAAACTGTCAAAATATTCTATTTAACCCGACAAGCATATATTAATATATTGTATCAAAGAGATAAGAATAATAATTCTGATAATAACAACAATAATTATAATTGTAATAATGACATGACAACAATAACAATAATAATAAAATATTATTCTCGAAATGATGACTGAAGATAGTGATGATAATTTTATAATTATATTAACTATCAATAATGTTTCAAATAAATTATTTTTTATAAGGGAGGGTACTGCTAAAGCTCACCGCCAGTGAATAACATAACTTCGGAGATCAAGGAATGATTTATGTTTGGAATTAGTAAATCATTCTAAATGAACTCATTATATCGGAATAATTATTATTCCTTTTTTTTGGAAAAGAATACAATTTTTTTCCTATTTAAGTTGAAATATAATTAATTAAAATCAGCTTAAATTAAGTCGACGATTAAAACTAAAAATTTTATACTATGATTTTTGAAATATGATCAAATTGGTAATATTTTATTTAATAAAAAAAGTCTTAATTACATATATTAATTACATATATTAATTACATATATTAATTACATATAATAATTACATATTCAACACTTAGTGTTAAGATTTTAGAATATCAAAAAAATTAATAAACCGTGATTTATAATTTAATAAGTAAAATGTAAATAAAAAAATATATATATACAACATTAAATAAAAATTTATATATTAAATTCCAAAGCCATCCTCCTCCTCATCATCTAAAGCATTTATTTGATAAAAAGATTCCGTTAATTCTTCAAGTTTCTTTTCAAAATGTTCTTCATTTTTAGGTTTTGGAAGATTTGAAAAATTGAGAAGTCGACTAGTATAAAATGCTTGTGGATGTGTTTTATAATTCATTGTAGTTGTAGTTGTAGTTGTCGTTCCCGTTGTCGTATCAGTTATTGTTGTTGAATGATTTTTGGAATATTCTTCATCTTGTTTAATTTGAATAGAAATTTCATTATTATTGTTAATATTTTTATAATCATTCCAATATTTTTTCAATTCTTCGTGTAATTCATCAAAAGTGGGTCGATGTGTGGTTCGAGCATCCCAACATCTCATAATGATTCGTGTAATTAATTTAGGGATGTGAAATGGAATTTTTGGTCGATACCCATTACATATATTAAAAGCTAAATCTTTATTATGCGGTACATCATGATATGGGGGAATTCCACAAACTAATTCATATGCAACAAATGCAAATGAGTAAACATCAGCAGCCTTTGTAAATTCTTCCCCGTTTAATACTTCAGGTGCCATATATGGTAATACCCCACAAATGGTATTCTTTTTCGGATTTTTTATATTATTTGAAATTATTTTACTTAATCCGAAATCTGATATATATAAATCGGAATAATCCAAATCATGTCTTAAAATATTTCCAGGATGGAAATCACGATGAACTATACCTAATTTATGGATTCCTGCAAATTCTTCGGCTAAAATTTTTAAATAATATAATTTACCATCCCAACCAATATTATTAAAATTTTTAATTAAAAAATTTCTAAGACTTCCACCTTTTAAAAAATATAAAACTATCATATATTCGTGAGTTTCAGGATCTTCTGTAATTCCATAAAGTGTAGTTGAATATAATTTAATACCTGTTTTCATGAGAAGTATTATCTAAATAACATTTCATTTTTAAATTATAATTGATATATTTTTTCAAATAAAAATTTTCGTATTAATTTAAAAAATTTTTATTTTACTTTACTTTACCTCATTTAAAAAATCTTCATTTATATCTACAACATTATCAAACTTTTTTAATGCCACTTCAAATTGATCCCTTCTTTTCCATTCTTTACTTTCAATATCCAAACAATAAATATATCCCTCAGGCCACATAGCATAATAAATTGTACCATAACCACCTTTTGCAATTTGTTTAACATTTCGAAATCTTTCATAAGGTATCCATTCTAATACTTCATAATAATCTGTAGCATTTAATTGAGTATTTTGAATAAATTTATCAATTTCGGCATTTCCACTTGTCCATTTATCAAAATCATTTTGAAAATGCGCTGAGTTGCACGGTTTACACCATCCATATGGACTACGTTCTCGATTACATCCTATACATAAATTAGACATTTTTCTAGTAGGTAAGGTTATTTTTATTATTATTTAATTAAAAAAAAAAAAAAAACGATAAATAAAACTTTGTATCAGAATTTATGTTTCAAATGTGTCAAAGAATTCTCCAATACATCGAGATTTCTTCACGTTTAGGAATTTTCTAGTTATAGACAGGTATTACAGTCACACCTCGATATAGCCTACTGCGGTCAATAATAATACTACGTACTAAAAAAAAAAATAAGATGATTATTATCAATCTTAAATACTTTTATATCAGTAATGTAACTATATATCGAGGTGTGAATGCATTACTATAAATATATTACTTAAAATTAACATATTGATGGCGTAATAATTGCGACAATAATAATAATAATAACTGGATTACATTGTTACATATAATTTTAATCGGCAAACTCCTTTATAATATAACATTAATAAAATTAACTGTAAAAAGTATAGATGTAAAAATTTCGATAAATATTAATTTATTATTTAATATTAATTTAATTTATTATTAATTTATTATTTATTAATATTAATTTATTATTAATTTATTATTGATTTATTATTTATTAATATTAATTTATTATTAATTTATTATTTAATAATATTAATTTATTATTAATTTATTATTGATTTATTATTTATTAATATTAATTTATTAATTAATTAGCGTTATATCATTATTATTATCATTAACAACAGTACTTTCTAGATGATGATATTCTTGTCTTAATTTTTCTAAATTTTTTAATCTTTTTACCAAAACTTCTTTAGCTTTATTTAAGTTTGGCTATTAAATATAAATAAATTAAAAATAATCAATATTAATAAGTATGTATATATATATATATATATATATATATATATAAATGTATCTAATAAATAAATATAGGTTGTATATAATATACATACCTGTAAAATGTGTACTCCGTATTGAGTAGAAACAATCAATTCATCAATTCCATCCTGATTTAAATATATTCCATTGATGCTATAAATAGGATGAGTAAATGATTGTTGATGTATTAATTTAAAACTAATAATAGAATTTGGATCTTCGTTGATCTCTGTAAAAAATTTATTATCGTAATATTTGTTAATACAAAAATTCGTATAAAATTAGTGATATTTGTTAATACAACAATTTGTATAAAAATAGTGATATTTGTTAGTACATGATAACGATTTATAATAATATTTATATAATAAATAAGATTTAAATAATAATTTATTAACCTTGTTTATAAATTAACATTTCTCTTCCATAAGTACCAATAATAATTTCATTTCTTCCATCCCAATCAACATCCATAACATGTGAACAAAGTACACTATCATACTTTGTACATTCTGTTAAATATATTGGATAATTTAATAAATTTTTGATAACGTCGCTATATTTAATTTTATATATATATATATATATTATAAATACATATATTATTATAGTTATATTATATGTAATTGTGTTCAGAAAAGATAAATAAAACAATTAATATAAAAAAAAAAAAAATTGCGCATTATAAAATATATTATTAATCACAATTCCAAAAGAAAAAAGAGGAGTTTACTTACCAATAAACAATTGCTTGTTCAACTGCGCACGTAACAAGCAAATGAATATCACTAGGATTAACTAAAAGTCAAATAGAATTAGAAATTAGAAAGAATTAACAAATCATGTCATGGAAAACTTATTATCGATAATATATTAATCAACAAACTCACCTTCACTAGTAAAAGAAGAAAATATTGTAATTGACGTAATTGGACAGAAAAGTGCGACCGAAGATGGTCCTTCTAATTGTACTACGTACATAATTTATGTAAAATATATATAATAGATATATAATAAATAAATAATAAATAAATAATAAATAAATAATAAATAAATAATAAATATATAATAAATATAATAATCACCGTATTCATTAGTCTCAATATCGAATTTCATAATAGAAATAAATAAGATTCCATTTTGACATCCCGCTGCTATAATTTTAAGATCATTAATTTCTTGAATTTCCAAAATTGATACGCTATATATACGCACAACGTATATATAAATAGATAGAAATTTATTTATATATGATGGGTAGATAGATATATATAGATTGATATCGTGATTAGAATAATTAAATAAGAAATTAAAAAAAAAATAAAAATAAAATAAACACCAATTAGAATTTGAATCCAATAATGATGAAAGCGAAGGAAAATAAGGGCGCACGGATTCTTCTTCCCATCTCATAGGATTATCCTTATTCTTTAGAATATATTAATAAAAGTAGAATAAAATGAAATCATAAAATGATATAACTTAATAATGTATAATAAAATATTAAATGATAAAACGAAAAAAAAAATAATAATTAAAAGAATATCTACTTCTAAATATAAATGAATTCTTCCATCAGTTCCACTTAAAAGTAAACCAACTTTTGATTCTCCATTAATTTTAATTTTAGTATGATAAAGTTGCATTGGAACAAATGATAAACTTATAGACTGATGTTGTGCTAATAGATAAATAAATAAAATAAAATAAAATAAAATAAAATAAATAAAAATAAATAAAAATAAATAAAAATAAATAAAAATAAATAAATATAATTAAATAATAAATAAACTATTAATTATTATTCTATTATTTATTAATTAAACAACAACAATAATAATAAAATATTACAAAGACACATGCCAGCAGTTTTAAATATTGCTTCTTCCATAGACATTATCGAAGTGTTATCACCTAAAGAGTAAATTCTAAGTGTAAATTGATGTTGAGGTTCTTCATCTACAGATTTTGGACCGGGCTATTAATAATTAATATCATTAAATTAATTAATATTAATCTAAATGACGATGATTAATCAATGATATTATATTATTAAAATTAAAATATTATTAAAAATATTTACTTGAACAGTCGTCAAGGAAAGAACTAAATTTGATCTACTTGATGAAAATGCGTGTATTGATATTATTTCACCTATTTATTATTATTTTTTATTATTTTAAATATTAGAATTAATATATAACAAATAAAATATAAAAATATAAAACAAAATGAAATATAATATAATATTATGAATATATAAATCTTACCAATTTCTCTATCTAAAGGCAATTCAATAGTATTCCAATGCCTAGTGGCAGCTACGAAACATGTAACCCCATAGAATGAACTTACGAATAAATGTTTATAAATTTCTAATATTTAAATATTTTTAAATATATATATATATATATAAATATAATTATATGAAGTTGCATTGATTTCAAATAATATAATTATAAAATTATTATTATTATTATTATCATTATTACTACAAACTTGCATTATCATCATCATCTTGTTCATTTTTTCTTTTTATAAAATCTTCATAAGGTGGTAAACTTTTTATAATATCTAAAGGAAATCCTGAATCAATTGGAAGACCACCACTTTCCATTTTCGTTTCGAATACTGATAATCCATAGATATTTCTATCAATTTTAAAAATAATTAATTAATTATTTTGTATGTATCTGGTATTGTATATATGTATTATATATTATTAATTATTACGTTCTTCCTCCAGATGGAAATCGAAAAAAATGACTTTCAGTAAATAATGGCGTTTTCATATTTGAATAACAAACAAAAAAAATGAAAAGGCGGTTTTTTATACTTTTTTTTTTTGAGCAACGTTTAGATTACACGTGCTCATTACTTGTCGATTTGTCACTACATATGTATTTGTCACTTTAGTATCATCAAATTTAAAATTTTCAAATCGTTATTATTTTATTATAAGTATATAATATATACGAAAAATGTGTTACTCGCATGGAATCATGGGAACAGTACAGTTATATAGTAAAGCAATGAAAATAAAAACCACCACCAAATAAACAAAATTTAATTTAAATAGTTTTTTACAATAAAATAAAAATAAAAATAAAAATAAAAAAAATAAAATGAATCGTTATAATATGAATAATACGAATAAGTAATATTAATATCATATATAATGTGATTTTTTTTTAAATTATCACATATAATATTTATATTATTCAACTTAATTATCTTATTTTATCATATTTCATGTTATTTTTTTTTTAATAATATATTCTCTCTCTGATTTATCATTAATAATATTCTCTTTGATCCGATCACGTCACGTACACGAATAATAATGTAAAATAAAAAAATTTTTTGCTGAAAAAATAATAATAAAAATAATAATATATATAGAAAAATATTAAAATATTCTAAAATATTAAAAAAACTCAAAAACAACAGATGTAAATAAATATATATATATATAACAAATATATGTATAAAACAATTTATATATAACAATTTATATGTAGTAGTATGGGATTTGGGTTTCTGTGCGATAATATAATAACTACTATATGTACAAAATATATAATATAAATATAAGAATCGAGGGCTAATTTTTTTTATAAAATATTCTTCTTCGGAAGTAAAGAGAATATAATTACTTTTTTTTTTTTTGTTATTTTTTTTTTTTTTGTTTTTTTTTTTTTGTGAAAGATAAATATATAAAAGGAAGATAATAAAAAAAATATATAAGGAATTCGTTTGTTTTTTTAAAAAAAGAAAGAAAAGAAAGAAAATGAGGGGTGGGCAAGAAAAAAAAAACTTTGATAAGCGAATATATAATATGTTGAATTGGTTATATGTGATGGAATGGAAATAATATAATCTGTGTAAATAATAATAAATGTAAATGGGATAATGGAACAATAAAAGTTTAAAAAGTGTAAATAATAATAATAATAAATTGTGTACTTGTTATCGTTAATTTTTTTTTTTTTTTTATATAATAACAGATGCATACATCGTTCGTTTGATAGTTTCGTTGACTTTTATTTGTTGATATTTTCGAAATTGTTTTTTTTAATTAAAAAAAAAAACTAAAAGAGTCGTTTATGTTAATGATTTTTTCGATAATAAGAAAAAAAATGAATAATTTGTATATATATATATATATAAATATAAAGGAAATTTAAATTATCATTCTGTTTGTTATTATTCTGTTGTTAATTTGTCTGTTTGAGCATTAAATTAAAGGATTTGAAAATTTTCAGCTTGAAAAAAAAGGTTATCGACACCTTTTTTTTTATTTATTTATTTTATTTTACGCGTCATTTCATTCGTTAAAGTTCGTCGTTGATTAATTCGTTAATTATTTCGTCAAAATTAAAAATATGGTGAGAATATCAGTTATCAGTGAGAGAATATTTCAGTGAGAATATATTATTATTTCATTTTTAATTTCATTTTATGTTCATAAATTTCGTTTTTTTTTGGTTGTTGTTTGTTTTCTTGGATGATAATGCTCGAAGGAAAATAATTTTTCGGATATTTTTATATAATTTTTTTTTTCGGATATTAATTGTATATAATTAATTTTTTCAAGAAAATATTATAAATAACAATGCTGTACTGAAAAAATAATAATAATAAATATCATTAAGTAATAATAACAATAATACATTGATAAAAAAAACAACAATAGTGTATTTTCGGTCGTTAGTAATAAATGAATCTAAATTTGAATTTATCAGTTATTCTACATGACAATGGAAACAAATAGGGAAGCCAAGATAATAGACAATAATTTTTATTTTTATTTATATACATGATTATTTAGTCCAAAAATTTTTTTTTTTTTTTAACTCAGGAATTCATATTATTGATGGATCGTTATTTTGAATAAAATCTGTTACTCGTTGTTTAGAAATTAGAATCCATTCTAAAAAGAACAATAGTATTCATTAATATGCGTGCAAGCGTGCGTGCATTATGCAAAAAAAAAAAATTTTTTAATAGTTTTATTTCGTATACGGAAAGTAAAAAATACAAATAAAGTATCTATCAGCACATGTGTAAATGTCTTATCCACGGTATTTGTTCGTGGTATTTTTTTTTGTGTTGTTGTTGTGGTATTTGAATTTTTTTGTTCTTGATAATTTATTGATTTGATTTGATTTGATTCATTCATTCACTCATTCATTCATCCATTACATTCCATTCATTTCATTCCATTCATTCATGGTATTTGTTGAAAGTCTCGTTATGCATATCGATTATATGTAATGCACCCTTGGAAAATACTTTAAATCACTCACATACTTCCCTCTCACATGCGATTATCAACAGATTTAACAAGGTTAAATGAATCTTTCTTTAGCATTCTCATATTCTTATTCATTCTTATTAGTTTATCATTCATTCCTATTATTCCCTATGCATTTGATTTTCATCCCTATTTTTTGTAAGCACTTCATCGGTCATCTTCACATCTAATTATGTATGCATAACTCTTATTACTGTATACAGTATTGGAGCATTGCGTAAATAAATAAATACGTAAATGAATGAATACTCACGTGAAGAAAATTGAAAATTAAAAATTTTCTTACCAAATAATATTAGAAGAGATACTCAGAACATCATTTAGAAGTGTTTATTTTTTTTTTGTTTACATTTAAATACTTACATATACACACACATACAGATATATATGCATGTGAATATTGAATATGATGAAAAATAATTATAATATAATTATAATAAATATATTGCCCAATAAATTTCTGAGAAAAAAAAAGGGACGTTTGTGTAAGTTTAATAACAAATTAATTTTTATTAACTGTCTGGGTTCTAGAATAAAATGGTTTGAACCTGGGGTTTGGGTGGTTAAAGTTTTTTTCTCTAATATTTTAAAATTATACACATATATATACGGTATATACTTCGATTATTTATTTGATCTAGAATATATATACAAAGAATGCTCAGGTGATTTAAAGTAGAAAAGTAGAATTTAATTAAACTATATATGATTTATTTAGGTTTAATAGAATTTTTGCGTGTAATGAGAAATTATTAAATAATAAAATCATCTACTCATCATATTTATCGATTTTATACACCATAAGTGAAAAAAAAATGTAAACGAAAATATCGTTGGGTGTGACTTGAATAAAATTCATTTTTTCACTTGAATTGTTTTTTCAGGATGCTCAACTAAATGCAAGTTATATAAAGTAATTGAATGAATGGATACCTTATGATAGGTTTCAGGATATTAAGAAAATTAGAAAGAATTAGTAGTTTTATACTATTTATTATGTTAAGTGGATATTCATTGTCGGGAAAAGAAAGAGATGGTTAAAGTGAAGTGTCACCCACGATGATACATTACTAACATTTAACCAAAAAGTAAAATAATAATATTAAGTATGATAAAAGTTATCAATGATTTTTATTTGCTTATCTTTACCCGTTGTAGTAGTAAAGGTTGGAATGATAACAAATTATTTCATTTTTTATGATACAAGAAATGGCGTTGCCTGAACATGAAATTTAATTTATGATGTTACACCTGTTTAACTATCTATGAAATTACCTTTATAGAAAAAAAACTTTTACTGATTTTCAATAGAATTTTGTAAAATATAAAATTCATATTCAAGCAATTTATATCAATACAAATTTATTTATTAATTTTTTTAAAAGTAAAAAAAAAATAAACTTCCACCATGCATACTATAAGCGAATAGTAAATGTCTTATGTATGCCTAGAATGCAATGAAAAAAATAATGGGAATTGGTGCAAACCGTGCAACTCAACACATTACACATTTCAAAAACGATTTTGATAAACGGACAAATGAAAATGCCACAATAGATAAATTTATTCAGGATGCTCTACTAAATGCTGATAATAATTTTAAAGTAATAGAATGGATACCTTATGATAAATTTCAAGATATTAAACAAATAGCAAAAGGTGGTTATGGTACTATTTATTATGTTAAGTGGCTTGATGGATTTATTGAAAATTGGGATATTAAAAATCAACATGGATAAGAATAGGACAAGTTAATTATGAAGTCGCATTAAAAAAGTTTGAAAATATTTTAGATATTAATGAAGATTTTTTAAAGTTATGTTTTAAATTAATATGAAAATTTATTTGAAAATTTATAATATATTAATTATAATTTAAAAAATAATGTTATCTAGATTCCAATTCACTTGAAAACAAGTGATTATTCATTTGATGGAATTACAAAAGATCCAGAAACTCACGAAATTATGATGGTTTTGCAATACTATAAAGACGGAAGTCTCAGAAATTTTTTTTATACCAACAGAGTCTTGCTCCAATAAACTTTATTAATATCAAATCTGTAAATTTTTACATTTTATATATTGTACATTTATTGAAACTGACTAAAATATTTCTATTTATTATCTGACCTATCATTGTCCAGGTTAAACCTGAGAACTGATGGTCAAAACTCCATCAGATAAAATGGTGGTATCTATGATCCACATTTCTAAGTTATGCTCTATATATTTTTCTATTATTTTTTTTTGTTTCTTCTTCAATTTCCTTCTTTTCTTTTCTTATTATTGTTTGGTTGT